TCTACCATTCTCATTCATCTCCATCTGGTTGCTTAAAGAAGCTATAGCCCTGACATCATCCAGCGAGCACAGACTCCTGCTCTTTCAGCTTTCCACCCTCATGGTCTCATTCCTGACGGTAAGAGTGCGAGGCTGTTTCCTTATACCTGGGTAGAACCCGAGGCAGAGATGAGACAGGAAGTGGAGCCAGGCTCAACATCAGGGCTAGCTCCTCCACTGTAACCCACCTCCTCCAGCTAGGCTGCAAGGATTCTACAATCTCCTAAAACAGCACCATCAGAGGAAGACCAAGCATTCAAACTCATGATCTATGCGGGGAGGGGGGGGCATTCCATATTCAAAACATAACAAAAAATATAGTATGAAATGCCCACTTTAAAGAGAAATGACCTACTTAGCATTTCAAAGGCTGAAATTGTAGAGCTTTTGTATTTTTGATGGCCACGGCATGGATGGTAGCTCTGAGGGAAAACTCCTTCATCACCATCCACAAACCTCTCCAGGTCTAGGTGGAGGCACATTCTCGGCGTCTTTGTTTACTCTTCAAAGACAGCCATGAGTGAACTAGTGCAAGCTGCTCCCCCTACATCAGTCTTATGGGTAGACTGGCTTTAGGAACCAAGTTCTGGCCAGCAGAAGCACAGGCTGAGAGGTGAAAATGCATACTCTACTGTCCCCAGACTTCACTATGCTCAGCAACAGGGCAGTGAGTGTGGTTTCTATAAACTACAACTTTTGGAAAGAGCCACGCCTTCCACGGAACTTTCTGTAGGGCTGATTACGAACCTTGATTCTTTGGAGAGGCTAGAATGTTGCAAGTCTAGAGCCAAATCATCTTGGGGGTATCTCTAGCCTCTTAAGTGCCATTTATTGCCTTCCTCTGTGGCTGACATGACATCTCTGTGGCCTCTGGGAAAATCCTCTGGGATGTAGGGACAGATCCCTGGTTTCCAACCTAGCAAAAACTAAGGATGTCTTCAGAGAGCATCTGAGGCCTACAGCAGAGTTCCCTCCCAGTTTGCCTTCATCCACTTATGGATTGGATGAGAATGGTGCTCATAAGCTCATGCATTTGAACACCTGGTCCCCAATTGGTGACACTGTTTGGAGGTTTCAGGAGTGTGGGTTTGGTAGATGTATGTCATTGAAGTCGGGCTTTGAAAGTTTAACAGCTCATGCCACTTCCAGTTCCCTCTCGGTTTTGTGCTTGCCGTTCAAGATGGGAGCACTCAGCTTCCACTTCCAGCTGCCATCCCTGCTGCATCCACACCAGGATCTACTCTACCCCCTGCAACCATAAGCCCAAATAAACCATTTCTTCTGTAAACGACCTCGGTCAGGGGGTTTTATCACAGCAATAGAAAATTGATGCATTTAAGAGGTTCCTTGATTTTAATTTGTTCTGTTTCTATAAAAACTTCGTCAAACTGTCAGCACATTGGACCATTCCGGGGCCATGGCCACTCATATTTGACTCAAGAATAAACTCTCTCTTTAATCTCCTCTTAGGTGAGAGTTCTGGTATAACACTAACCTTTTTTCTATGACTCTGTAGGTCCTAAACTTGGAAATGTTCTTGTCTTGTTTCTCTGGTTCCTGACTCAGCTTTTCTCCTGAGGCTGTGATGGAGAAATGTATCCCAGGTGATCCTTCCTTTGGGCCACCAAGCAGTTCATTTCCCCATCACCAGTTTCTACTCTTCATTTATTTAAAGAAGCTCAGCATGGTACTCTGTGTCATTCTGGTCATGTCTTTCCTAGCCATGGCCTGACTCTATGCCCCACCTTAGCATCCTGATGCTCATCATAGCATTTGCAAAAGCCCCAGCGACAGTAGCTCTGCAAGCATGGAGAGACTCCATCCTTTCCACTTGGAAGAAAACTCTAGGTATAAATGCCTCTAAATCCTAAACTTGTTTTCAGAGGACCCCCACTCTGAACCCATAGGCAGTCAGGTAGTATAGCTACCTGACAGAGCCATCCCTGGCAATACAGCAGAAAGGATTCTCTGGAATGAATTTTGTATGAACAAAGATAGGTAGCAAAGACCCTGACCTAGTTAGGTTTCTATTGCTGTGATAAACACCATGAGCAGAAGCAACAGAGATGAGGAAAGTGTTTATTTCATCTAACAATTCTCTATCACTGATGAAAGTCAGGGCAGGAACTCAAGGCCGGAAGGCAGAGGCAGGGACTAAATGCAGAAGCTATACAAAACTGCTGCTTACTGGTTTGCTGCCCATGACTCGTTCAGCGAGCTTTTTGATAGCACCCAGGACCACCTGCCTAGGCATGTTACCACACCCAGTGATCTGGGCGGGCCTTTCCACATCAATCATAGATCAAGAGAATGCCCCACAGGCTTGCCCACAGGTCATCTGATGGGGGATTTTTCTCAGATGAGATTCTTTTTGCTCAAATGACTCCAGCATGTATTAAATTGACAATATAATAATAATAAAATAATAATAATAATCAACACTGACACTATTTCAGCACTTGAGCAGTTCTCAGCTGTACCCTGAGCAGTTCTTAGCAAGCTATTGATCCAAGAGAAGGCTGCAAGCCCAGATTCAATGCAAGTGCTATTCCAGAAGGGTGGCTTAGAGCTGTCTGTTTAGCTCAGCTCCAGGAGGTACTAAATTACAGCTTATCTACAGATAAGCTCTGGTTCCGATATAAAACTCAGAGGAGAGGTACCGAGGGAAGGAACATCCAAGAGGAGTATCCCCCACAAAGGGAAGGTGGAAATAGAAACAGCAATCTGGGGCCCCCAATTTTTCTTTAAACAAAGACGGGCAGTGAGGAGGCAGAAGAACACACTGACATGAACTACATAGAAAAGAAGTCTACAAAATAAGTGTTTTTTGTCTGTGATGCACTGCACAGTCCTTTAGAGAGCCTTGCTCACAGTGAGCACCTATGCAGAAGAGCAGTAATGTGCCTCAGAAAGTTGACTGGAAGTGGGTAAATGATTCACAGAAGGAAGGTAGGACTTGAACACTTCACTTTTTAGCTCTAAAACCCCTGTCCTGTTCAAACTCATCAAATGATAGTCTGAAAGTTGGCAAAATAAGAGTCTACCCTGTGTGATTTCATTTACCTGATGCTTCAGAAAGAGTCCAAAGCATGCTATGGTGAAGGGGAGATCAGAACAGTGAAGTTGCCAGGGTACTGAGATTCAGCAGGAAAGAACACGAGGTAAGTTTCTCTTTTATAGCTTGATGGAGGTGTAGAACTGGCTTGCACATGCCCCTTAGAGCCTCAGATTCCACATTTAGGAGTTGCTTATTTTTTCTGTGTCCATTATCTTTCATTAAAATAGAAACCAGTGTCAAAATATACAGCCCATTAAATACCTTCAAATTCTGAAGCCATTTAAAGTTTATGTTAACATTTGTAAATATTAATGTTCTAGATTATTTGGTGTCTAAAGTTACTTTCTAGAAAGCTCTAATTCTACTGTCATAGAACTGCTATTGCTGAGGTTTGATCTGTTGCTATGTATTGTAATGTTAAATACTGGTCCTGGTTGCCCCCAGGGACAAAAAGATTCTCATGTAGACCCAAGCAATGCTATGTAACCTTGACCACCAAGTTATCTCTGATTGGTGAATAAAGATGCTTACAGCCTATAGCTGAACAGAAGAGACATAGGCAGTTTTTGTTTCCAGGCTTGGGGTCTGAGGCAGGACCAGAAGGAGGAGGAAGAGAAGAAGAAGGAAGAGGAGGAGGGGAAGAGGAGGAGGAGAAGAGGAAAGAGGAGGAGGAGGAGGAGGAAGAAGAAGAAGAGGAGGAGGAGGAAGAGGAAGAAGGAGAAGAAGAGGAGGAAGAGGAAGAAGAGGAGAAGGAGGAGGGAGGAGGAGGAAGGGGAAGAAGAAGAGGAGGAGGAGGAGGAGGAGAAGGAGGAGGAAAAAGGGGAAGAAGGGGAAGAAGGGGAAGAAGGGGAGGAAGGGAAAGAAGAAGAAGAAGGAGAAGAGGGGGAAGAGGAGAAGGAGGAAGATGAGGACAAGGATGAGAAAGAAGAAGATGGGGAAAGGAGAAGATGCCATGGGGTAGGTGAGTCATAAAAACATGGCCGTGAGAGCTGGACAATTGGAGTTGGAGAGTAGCCCAGATGGAGCATGGAAAAATATAAGTCGGGGTTATTGGTAGGGAAGTGGGCAAAATAGCTTAGAGGGTAAATATCAGCCCAATTCTAGTGCTTTAAATGCTTATTATAAATATGAAGGTTGTGCATCTTTTATCTGGGAACTGAATGATCAACGGCAGGATAGAACCCATGATTGAGATTAAATACTTACTACAGCACTCGATGATAAAGCCTTGCTCCAAAACACAACAGACACTGCCATCACCATCTATTCTTGACTCAGTCAACAGCACAAGTTAAATGTACCCAACACCCACACAGAGCAGAGCTAATGAGGAACACATCCTGGCCTGGTTTTAACATGCCCTGAATTTACAGAAACACTGTGTTCACTTGCTGCAAGATACTTTGGGTTGAGATTTCCAAGGATAAGAACCCCACTACTTGTGTCTCAGTTAGACCCACATCCTTACAATTACTGGGACAAGGGTTCCCATATGGTGAAATTACTGGGAGCAGAACACCAATGGGTTCTATTTCTTCATCTAATTTGCAATTACTCTGGTCCCCACCATTCCCTTTGCATATAGACACTCACTTTCCACATATGTTTCCTGCCTATCCCAGTGTTTTCTTGTAAGCTTCAAACTGTGACTCAATCAAAAGTAAAATACTGGAGGCCAAATTTAGGAGGCAGAGGCAAGCAGAGCTCTGTGAGTACACGGGCATCCTGGTCTACAACATGAGTGTTAGGCCAGCCATGGAGAGACCCTGTCTCAAAAAAAAAGAAAGTAAATAAATAAAACAAAAAGAAAAATATCATACTACACTGGAAACTTTACAGAAAAACTGAAAAATATTTTAAGCACATCCCTAGAATAAAACCAAGGAATGTAAGCATTACTTACTCGCAAAGAAGGATTCCATTTTCTAGTCCTGTCCGGAAGTCTTTGTCACCAAAACTTCGACCAGTGACTTGCTGGAAAAGAACAAAAGGAAAAGAGAACATAAGTTTTTCTTTTAGAACCAGGAAGTTCAATATTAAACAAAAACAAACAAAAACAAACAACAAAAAAAACAAGAACAAAATCAAGAGCCCTGAAAAACTCATGACACTTCAAGAATGAGAAAAATTGATTAACCTTGAATTCCCTTCCTGTGTGTGGCTTTTCGTGGATCAGGTAAAATAAACTTAGATCATGATAAGATAAGACTCTATTACTTTCCAGATTCAACCTCAATAAGTCAAGGTCATAGTGTGTCTCTTCCATGGAGATGCACACCATCAACATAAAAAACAAATAGCAACAACACATAGAAGGAATTGCCCAAAGACAAAGACCCTGTATACTAAAGCATCAGTGGTCAGGGAAGGAGATTCTGTCTAATGTCAGGAGACTAATACTATAACTGGAGACTATAGCCAATGTGTATAAATGACAGAACAGTCCTAAGGGGCATTTACGGTGTCTCTGGCTGTTGACAACCATTGGCTGAGGAACAAGGTACTCAGAGTTTTATTTGTTCATTCTCTAAATACAAATGCCTGACCTGAAATATACCAGGCAGATATGTCTGCAAACAAGCCCTAAGGAAACTTCTAGCACACAAAAATAGAAGTCATGTCTAATAAGCCACAAGAAAAAAAAAAAAGAAAAGGGAGCCATAAAAATACTCCAGCAATGAAAGGGGCAAAGAGGAGATGGAAAAGAAGAGAGAAGGAGAGGAGTAGGGTGGGGAGGAAAGGGAGGTGGAGAATGGAAGGGGAGGGGAAGGATGGAAGGGGAGAGAAGAGGGAGGAGGAAGGAAAGGGGGAGAAAGGAAGGTGAAGGGGAGGAGGGAAGGAGAGAAAGAAAGGGGAGGGGGTATGGAGAAGGGGAGAGGAAGGAAGGAAGGGGGTGGTAGGAAGGGGAGGAGGAAGAGGGAAAAGAAGGTAGAGGAAGAAATGGAAGGGAGAGGATGGAAGGGAAGAAAGGAAGAGGAGGGAAGGAGAGGGGAGGAGGGAAGAAAAGGGAGAGAAAGGAAGGGAAGGGAGAAGACAGAAAGGAAGGGGGCAGAGAACAGATAGAACACACAGAAAGGTTGAAGACTTAGTATTAACCGTATCAACAACCATATTCAGTGTGAGTGACCACAGAGCCCCTAACTAAAACACAGAGATTGTGGGACCGACGCAGAAGTTGAGTTAACCTTGAGCTGCCTACAAATACGCTGGATAAATTGGAAGACGCGCACCAACGTGAGTCACAAGAAACCTGGGCCACCCATACTAACATCAGAGGAAGAAATCTCAGAACAGAATATAACAGCGTGGATGGAGAAAGCTCTTTCATAACAAGGAGTCAGTAAGTTCACTGACAAGACATCATATCATGAACATTAATATATTTCACCATTCACCATGTTTTTAGAAAGCCTTTCAAACTACACAAATCAAAGCAGGTAAGATCACTAAGAAAGAGGGAGACAGATCATGAGTAGAGTCAGAGATTTAATTATTTCTCTTTAATAACAGACAAAACACATAAACACAAAGTTAATGATGATATAGAACACATAAGTAACACTATGGAACCAATTGGCCTGATTGATATTTCTAGAATATTCACCCTCCAACAATTACCAAGCCAGACCAAAATCTAGGTCATAAACCAACTCTCAATATACTTAAAAACATCTATCCAAAGTGGGTGTTCTAACCACAACAGAATTCAATTCTAAATGAACATCAAAATATCTGTGGACTATTCCCAAATGTTTTTAAACTAACTAGACCAATTCCAAATGATGAAAAATTAAACATTATAATACATTTATAGATTAAATAGTAATATAAGCCAAAAATGTACAGAAATACTGAAGCAGGGTAGGGGGAGGGGTACAAAAAGCCAAAAGAGAAACAGGACACAAATCACCAGAGATTCAAGAATGGCAAATGACATCACTGCAGAGTATAAAAATATTAAAAGCACAACAAAGGACTATTATAAACAAATTTGTACCAATAAATTAAGCAAGTTAGACTACTCTGATAAATTCCTTGATGTAAGCACAATTCATACAACAGGGAAACAAATCACCCTCTCACAAAGAAAATAACAGGACTCAAAGGCTTACTGCTAAGTTGTTGCACCTACCAGTTACAGAGAAACAACCTAATTCAGTACAAACTCATGCAGACAATTTTAAAAAGTATATCTTATGATGTGCTTATGATGACCCACAGTTTGTACTCTGACTAAAGACTTCTAATTAACATTCCCTTCATGACAGTGCCAGTCATCACTATTAAGATTAACTGCCACTACCCATTTGCAGGGAACTAAGAGTCGTGGCTCAGGCCCTTTTCACCTCTCCTTGGATCCCAGCCAATCGAGGATTCTTAGCAATTTTCCCAACAAGGCACTGGCCCTGGCTTCATTCCATGACCACATTCCAAAGACACAAGGGCATAATGGGAAGCTCAGCAGAGCCATTAAGGGGATCTGAGGTACTGTGGTAGCATACGCTTTTCATCCTATCCTAGCACTCAGGAGGCAGAGGCAAGTGGATCTCAAGGCCAGACTAGTTCTATATAATGGGCTCCAGGTTAATGAGGGCTATTTAGTGAGACCGTGAGACCGTGTGTGTGTGTGTGTGTGTGTGTGTGTGTGTGTGTGTGTCCCTAAGGTGAATCCTTGAGTTACAAGGTGTTTGTAAAGAAAGCTCCGACTTAGGAAGATTTAGAGCCTGGTAGAGAGGGGTTGCAGATGGTCAGGAGCACTCTATGCCGTTCCTGCCCTGACTTCCCCCCATCATCTGATCTAATCACTGAAACTCCATCCTCACAGTTGCCCAGCCTTATCAAGCACACCTATCAACAACTCTTTGGACATGTTCCTTACTTTCTCCTTTCTCATCACCTTTCTCCAAGCCACTGTCATCTTCCATCCATCAGGCAGACCCAGCCTTTGGCACAGTGACCTGGTGATGTCACCGATAAAGTTCACACTCAAGAATGTCACACTCAAGATACAGAAAAAGAAAAAGGTCTTAATATAAAATCTCAGATTTTAACTTGCGACTTTGTGTGGGGTCGTGATGATACCTATCCTAGGACACACATAGCCCGCAGGTCATAGATTGAATATGTCTGATAGACAGTTCAGACCCGGGTACAACTACTTCCACCTGGTTTCCCATCTATTCCCAAGCAGGCAGCTCTTAACAACTAAAGTACCACCAACCCAGTATGCCTTTCATTGCTTCCACAAAATGACCCTGAACCTCATTTATCATGGTAGAAGCCAAGTTCCCACAGTTCCCTAATGGTGTTCACACACACACACACACACACACACACACATACACACACACACACACACACACACACACCACATGAATGCATAGGTCAGAGAGTATAGATGAGAATGCATTGGAATCCTATCATTCATGGGCAAAAACTACTAACTGTCATCTCAGAGGTGACCCCTCAACGGAATCCTCAGAAATCCTTCTGATGGCACTAAGTCATCAGCTTTCCTTGCCGTCCGTCCTTCAAGGAGCTGTATCAACTTTGTATCAGATCCTCCCTGCTTTGTGTGCAGGGTTAATCCACTTTAATTACTAACCACAATATTTGTTGCAGGACCATGCGGAGTCAAAGTCACTGAGTGACTAATTTATCAAATTCTGCTTTTCCAGGAAAAGAAAAGCTTTCTTCTGCCTCCATAATTAAACAAAAGCAGAAGGCAAGGGCATGACGGCGTGTCATCACACTGGTTAGTGCGAGCAGTTATTGAGGAAGCTCATCTGTATCCGATTTCCTTTCCACGGAGCTCAGAGGTAAATCTGAATTTATCTACATCCCCGGCTCTGCTCTGAATCATTCAAATTCTGAAATATGGAGACACCAGACTCAAAAAGAAAAACCACACAGCTCCATGGCAACATTTTTACGACGTGTTTATAATGTAACACTCTCTATATCAAAGCCCTACAGGCCGTTAATTGGTTTGTTGCTATTGTTGTTATGTAATTGCAAGGAGCAGCCAAAGGCTGCCAAGAATTGGTCTTCCAGCCCAATCATTACCATGTATGCAAATAGTATTTCAGAAATATTTTCATGAATCTTTGGTAGATTTTTTTTTGAACAAAAACCACAAACAGACTACAGGTCTAAAAAGCATTTAAAATGAATATTCACAATTCTTAGCACAGTGATATAAAGAGAGGATTTTTAAATGTTATTTTTTGGTTTGAGGGTTTAAAATATAAATTTATCTACTTTATCTGTATGAATGTGTTGCCTGCATTTATGTACATGAACCATGGGAGTGCCTGGTGCCTTACTAAAGCGTCAGATCCCCTAGAGCTGCAGTTACAGATGTTTCTCCACCATGTGAGCATTGGGAACCCATCCCAGGTCCTCCGCAAGAGCAACAAGTGCTCTTAGGCACAAAGCCACCTCTCTAGCCCCTGACTGATGGATTGTTTGGCTGATTGATTGACTGATTGATCAATTGATTTAAAGACATGATTTTTTTTTTTAATCACACATCTCTGGCTAGCCAGGAACTCACTATGTAGCATAGGCTGGCCTCAAACCTTCAAAGATTCTCATGCTTCTGCCTTCCAAATTCTGGGGGTTACAAGAGTGAGCATGACTCCCGACCTTCTAAAGAAAAGATTTGATCTCTTAACAAAACACACACATACACAATTCGGAGGAGACTTTCCACTTAACTTTGAATAGATATTAGGATTTTCCTTAAGTTGTATAAGAGCACATACCTTTCAAAGGAGTACGATTTTCTCTCACACTCTGTTAATGGTAAAACCACACTCCTTTATTCATGAAGAGCCTTAGCTGCAACTCATTACACATTCCCCCTCTCCTGATTCTGACTTAATTATCTAGAGTATCTATGCATATTTCATGCTGAAATCATAAAATAGAGCAAAAAAAAATCTCCTTACTTTTCCCTTTTTTCCCCTCAG